TCCCTCCAAAGCCCGACAGTCCAATCAATGCCTCTCCTTCTCTGGATCAGTCCTTGTTCATCAGTTTATGTTGTTCATTATATTCCACAAATGAGTGAGATCATGTGGTATTTATCCGCTCTCCAGTTCCATCCATGCTGTGGCAAATGGTAAGAGTTCCTTTTTCTTCTTCCTCTACTTAAAGAATACCTTTCAGCATTTCATATAATGCTGGTTTGGTGGTGATGAACTCCTTTAGCTTTTTCTTATCCGTGAAGCTCTTTCTCTGACCTTCTATTCTGAATGATAGCTTTGCTGGATAAAGTAATCTTGGTTGCAGGTTCTTGCTATTCATCACTTTGAATATTTCTTGCCACTCTCTTCTGGCCTGCATGGTTTCTGTTGAGAAATCAGCTGACAGTCGTATGGGTACTCCCTTGTAGGTAACTGACTGTCTTTCTCTTGCTGCCTTTAAGATTCTCTCTTTGTCTTTTGCTCTTGGCATTTTAATTATGATGTGTCTTGGTGTGGTCCTCTTTGGATTCCTTTTGTTTGGGGTTCTCTGCGCTTCCTGGACTTGTAAGTCTATTTCTTTCACCAGGTAGGGGAAGTTTTCTGTCATTATTTTTTCAAATAGGTTTTCAATATCTTACCCTCTCTCTTCTTCTGGTACCCCTATAATTCTGATGTTGGTACGCTTGAAGTTGTCCCAGAGGCTCCTTACACTATCTTCATATTTTTGGAATCTCTTTTCTTTTTTCTTTTTCGGTTGGGTATTTTTTGTTTCTTTGTATTTCAAATCTTTGACTTGATTCTTGGGATCCTCTTGTCTGCTGTTGGATCTCTGTAAATTATTCTTTATTTCAGTCAGTGTATGCTTAATTTCTAGTTGGTCCTTTTTCATGTCCTCCAGGGTCTCACTATACTTATTGAGGGACTCATTAAATTTATCAGCGGTTTCCATAAAATTCTTGAAAAACCTTATAAACACGGCCTTGAACTCTATATCCAGTCATTTGCTTTCCTCCATTTCTGCCATTTGTGACTTGTTTCTTTGTGTCTGCATTTTGGCTGCTTCCCTGTGTTGATAGAGTGGCTTTGTGTGCTAGGTGTCCTGTAGGGCCCAGTGGCTCAGCCTCCCCAGTTACCTGAGGTAGCTATGCCTTGGTTGTTGTAGGATCACTGGGAGGAATTGACCTCCAGGCCAATTGGCAGTGAGAATCAGCTGTGTCTGCAGTGGGAGAACTTCTGTGCTGAAGACACCCTTCTGGGGCAAGACTTGCTTCAGTGGGGCTTTGGTGCTCACTGAGACTGCACCCTGAGTGTGTCCCTTATGGATCTGAGGAGTTGTGATCTGGATGGTCCCCCTCTGACCACTGGGTACAGTGGCTCTTGGATCTAAGGAGGTGCTAATTTAGCCTCTGCCTGAGGTTACACAGCAGGAACTATGAAGAGAACTGCAGATTCCCCTTCCTTTTTTTGGCCCTGATGAGGCTCAGCTGTGAAGCAATGTAAGCCGCTGTGGGGCCTTGGGCCTTCTCTTGGAAGTTCTGGGTCTGTCTGGCCAGGCTGCAGTTAGGTATTTACAGGTTACAAAGGGCCGGGGCATTCATATGCAAAAGCCTCTGCTGCAGCCTGGGTGGGGCGGGGGCTCAAGGAATCAAAGGGTGGAGCAAGCAGCTATGGCGGAGCCTCAGCCCTGCCCTAAGGAGTCGAGAGTCTCAGTGTCCCGGTAACGGCTGCAAGCAACTCTGAGGGAAAGCCGCCCTCAAGTTCGCCCGCTGCCAAACAGTCCAGTTTCTCCCCGTATGAGTCCTGGGTCCCCAGAGACTTCCCGGAACTGGAGTTCAGAGCCGTCGGGAGCTTGTGACTCCCTCCCGATTCAAAAAGACCACCGCGTCCTCAGGTGCCAGCCCTTTCCGCGCGCGCGAGCCCCCTACCTCTGCACTTTACTTCCGCAGCTCCTCTGGCTCTCAGTGTGCTTTTCTTTCCTTCTAGTTGTAGAATTTACACTCAGCCATCCTTCCTGTAGTTCTGGATGATGTCCGTTTTGTGTTTTTGATGTGTTTTTCAATTGTGGGAAGCAGCAATTTCCCGGTGTTTATCTATGCCGCCATCTTAGTTTCCTTCCTCTGTATAATATTCTTTATTTCAGTCAGTGTATACTTAATTTCTAGTTGGTCCTTTATCACAACATCGAGGGTCTCACTAGATTTCTTGAGGGTCTCATTAAGTTTATCGGTGGTTTCTAGAAAATTCTTGAAAAACCTTAAAAGTGTGGTTTTGAACTTTATATCCAGTAGTTTGCTTTCCTCCATTTCTGTCATTTGTGTCCTGTTTCTTTGTCTTGGCATTTTTTATGCTTCGCTGTGTCGATAGAGTGGCTTTGTGTGCTAGGTGTCCTATAGGGCCCAGTGGCTCAGCCTCCCCAATTACCTGAGGTAGACACTTTTGGTGCACCCCCTTGTGGGCTTTGTGCACAGTCTTGTTGTAGTTAAGCCTTGATTGTTGTAGGTAACACTGTGAGGATTTGACCTCCAGGCCAATTGGCTGTGAGAGTCAGCTGTGTCTGCAGTGGGAGAACTTCTGTGCTGAAGACACCCTTCTGGGGCAAGACTTGCTTCAGTGGGGCTTTGGTGCTCACTGAGTCTGCCCCCTGAGTGTGTCCCTTATGGATCTGAGGAATTGTGATTGGATGGCCCCACTCTGACCACTGGGTACACTGGCTCTTGGATCTAAGGAGGTGCTAATCTAGCCTCTGCCTGAGGCTACCCAGAAAAAGCCAGCTGTAAAGCAATGCAAGTTGCCCTGGGGCCTTGGGGCAGCTGCAGTTTGTAAAGTAATTTTCAGATTACAAAGGGCCAGGCCTTTCATATGCAAAAGCCTCTGTGCATGGTTTGGGCAGGGCGGGGTCCCAGAGGATCAACATGGTGGGCGGAGCGAGCAGTACAGCTGCTCTCAGTCTGGCCCTCAGAGGCCCTGGCAATCGGCAATTGCTGCGAGCGCCTCCGAGAGAAAACTGCCCTCGAGTTCCAACCCATGCCAGACAGTCCAGTTTCTCCCATATGATTCTGGTCCCCAGAGACTCGCCCGGAACTGGAGCTCAGAGCTTGAGACTCCCTCCCGATTGAACAAGACAACCATGTCCTCAGCTGCCAGCCCTCTCCGCATGCACCTCCGCACCTTTGTATTTTACTTCTGCACCGCACCTCCTCTGAGTCTCGGTATGCTTTTCTCTTTCCTTCTAGTTGTAGAATTTCCACTCAGCCAGCCTTCCTGTGGTTCTGGATGATGTCTGTTCCATCTTTTAGTTGTATTTTTGAAGTGGTTGTGCGAGGCAGCAATCTCCGGTGTTTACCTATGCCGCCATCTTGGTTTCTCCCCAAAGAATCTTCAGTAACCACCAGAGGCTTACCCTGATGACAGCAAAAGGCCACCTGCTCCACCATCCCGCCATGGCTGACGCCCACCATATCCCACACACGCTCCCTGGTGGTCAGTGCATGTCATAGTGACCGGTTGTTTGGTTGTTCTGGTTGTTCCACTGATCGGTCTATTTGCATATTAGCCTTTTATTATATAGGATTATTTGGGAATGGGAGAGGAGGTGAAGCAGAAGTGGAGCTTCCCAGTTAGCTTCCTAGTTTGGGGTCCTAGTAGATCCAAAAAGCTAAATTCTCCATGGACAGTTTCCCTCATTTTCCCCCTACCCCAGGAGGATAATCGGAGATAGCCTGAGAAAGAGTGAGTCTGTTTCAAGTCCACAAACCAGTCCTTGGCTGATTCCAGGCAATTTTCTTTCCCACTACCCCCAGACTAACTTCCCTTAATATCAAGTTTATACTATCACTCGTTCCCCTTAAACTCCCAATAGATCCCAACTCTAAGTCTAAATTGCACAGTTCATCTTTTAAGAAATTGAACCTGCCCTTCCTGTGCCTGTCGCTTATTTTCCAGGAACCTCTCTCTTCCGACTACACCCTATAAACCTCCACTCTCTTCTCCACTTCCCTCAATCACACAAACAAGAGATGGGTATTAGTTGCTACACTCACATCTTACCCCCTAACTCCAAATTCTCTTCTCACTTCTGTGAATGGAGACCTTCCTTCTCTGTACTCTGTACTGTATTCCAACACAGGCAATACAGCTCACTTTGTACTTAATTGTTTCAGTCAGTTTCCCCAGCACACACTCAGAATTAAAGCACACACCCAGTCTCCACTCGGATAAAGGCCTTTCTCAAAAACAATAGAGGAGGCACCTAATCCAGCCATTCCGGATATTCGGGTGATTTTTAATTTGTATTTGTTGAGGTCTAAGTCGGTATTGTGACTCCCAAGTATTCTTGAGTTGCTTGCTGTGTATGTTTTGTGGTTCATTTAGAAAGCAAAAGCAACGTAAAATAAATACTCCAGTAGATGTTTAAAAAGGAATACATGGGTCGGGCTGGCATAGCTCAGTGGTTGAGCCTTGACCTATGAACCAGGGGTTGTGGGCTCGTTCCCCAGTGGGAGGCAGCGGGTCAATGATTCGCTCTCATCATTGATGTTTCTGTCTCTCTCCCCATCTTCTTTCCTCTCTGAAATGAATATCTATCTATCTATCTATCTATCTATACATATACATGTATATATATATATATACGTATATATATGTATATATATATATACATAAATATATAGATAGATAGATAGATAGATAGATAGATAAAAGGAATACGTGGGAGGGTAGGGAAAATTAACGTCTAAAAACTGCAGGACCTAATCTCCGTAAAGTGTTTACTACCTAGAAGCCTGGAAAACAGTAGAGTATGTTAGCTCCCAAAGCCAGAGGGCCCCAGACAGCCCCCAAGTTATTGAAAATAGATGCAGCGGAGGCCTTTCCCTGATGGAACGGGTCTAAGTGATGTGAGTAATAAGCCTTAGCCAAGTCCTACCTGTCAAGTTGTGCTCGACTCCACCCCTCCCGAGAACGCGGCCCTGTGATTGGCCAGGACGCACCCTAGCGCTGCCCAATCGCGTACCAGCAGCCGCAGCGTCTTTTCACTCAGGAGAGAAACATGGCGGACCGGCTCACGCAGCTGCAGGACGCCGTGAACTCGGTGAGCAATTCCACTCGATTAGTCTCCGTCTTCCCCTTTTCTCGGTAAAGCGAGGGAGGAAAAGGGGCTCGAGACGCGACACCCGGGAGTGGAGGGCGGTCCGAAACGGCTTCTGCAAAAGGCGGCCGGGCGGGGGGGCTGGGGCCGGCTGCCCGCGGGGCGGAGGGCGGCGGAGGGCGCGGCGCGGCCTCTTTCCGCGGGGAAGGGAGCGTCTCTGTGGCCGGCCTCTCAGACCTCCCGGTCCTGTCCTGTCCTCCGGGAACAGCTGTTTTGTCAGGGATGCGGATAGGATCTCTTCCCGTTTGGGAGGCGGGGAGAAGTGGCGGCCGCGCTTCCTCTCTAATCAGTTTTAACCCGCGGGGGCGAACCTGTGCTTTGGCGATTGGATCAATGGCCGTTGGCCGAGCGTATCCTTTGCCAAAGCTTTCGTGTTGGCGCGGGAGTGATGGCGAGGTGGGAAGTTTTGTTTCCTCTCAGTTGGCACCTATAAAGACCAAGGATCTCGCCCCATGTCTTGGCCACTCCCCAGCATAAAACAGTTTTGGGGGAAAGTGACGTTTCAGTGGTAGTGAGTTTTCTAATCCTCGTATATTTCCATTCATTTAAGTCTTGTTTAGTTTCTCCCCAAAAGCCTACCTCCTATTGAAGGGCGTATCTTGTAAGTAGCCCCCGTCCCCCCTACTTTCCTCCTTCTGATTGTTGCTCCTGACATGCCCACGTGGAACATATCTGCAAACCATAGGATTCGTGTACTTATTACCATTAATAGTTAATTGTTTTCTATTGATAGTTATATTTCTCATTGTCATTCTGTTTATACTTTGATGTCCCGGGTAAGGTGCCTTTGAAAAGAGAGAGAATATGTTGATTGGAAAACCTGAGTACCCGGCCCCTTGCCAATGTTTTCACACAGGTTGCTACAAAGTTTTGTTGCATCCGTTTTTGTACACTTGAGGAGTGCATCTGCTTGTGAGAAACTGATCTACCCCGTGTGTGTATAAAAGACGACCTTTCAAGGCCGGGAGGACCAGCCCCTAAATGTTGATGAATTCACCAAGATAAATTCTACCTAGTGGTGACTTTCCTGGGTTGCCAGACAACCTCCCTCAGGAAGATACTCCTTTGAGGTTTTACAAAATCCAGTCGGAGTGATGCTATTGGATAGAAATGATATTTAGGGAAATGTTCCATATTCATACCTGTCTTGTAGCCAGAAGGAGAGTGAAAACGAAGTTAATATGGCCTTAAGGCCAGGGTTGGCATGCTGGTTATTGGATTTTGGGGGGAAACCTCTAGGTTTACTAGTATTGAGTGCCTACAGTATATATAAGCACATGTCATGTTTACAGAGAGATGCTCCTTAAGGAGTTTACAGTCTGATTAGAAAGATGTCATATACTCAAGAGACATTTTAAACAATGCAAAAGCAGTATGTGGTTAGGGAGGTACAATGAATCAGGTGTTTTAGCTGTAAGTGCCAAAGTGAATTGGAATATAGAGTAAATTCCCTAAAATAGAGGGAATCTTCTTAGCGTTTATCTGAATTGTAATTACTTGTAAAATTATTAAAATATTTTTGTTTTTTAATGAGTTTTATGTCTATATAATTTTATAAAAATGTTAACATTATTTCAGAAATTCATTCATAATCCCACAAGGATAGCATTTGTTTTACACTCTAAGAACTCTGTAAGGGTAGAAACTGTCTAGTTCTCTGTATCTCTGTAATGTTTATACATATGCAGTGCATGTCATAAAATTGATTTTTGATAATATTTGTTGAGTAAATAGATCTTGAGAGCTTCTGAAGCACAGAGCAGATAGCCACTGTGTTGAATATTTTTTTGTGTTTTCTCTATTCCTCATACCAATGCTGTAATGTGAGAATGTTCCTGATTTTAAAATTATAAAAAAAAACCCTATCCAAGTTACTAGAACCAGAATTAGAATCCATGTTTGTACAGTTTCTGAGCACTTACAACTGCTCCATTACATTTGTAAGATGTGAGCAAAAGCAGTGTAGTCAGGAATCAGCTTATCACTAGTTAGGTATAGATGAAGAAGCAGTAGAAAATGATGTAGAGTTGATTTGGATTATTGAAAGCTGTGAAACAGCCTGAAGAATTGGAGATTCATCTTGAAGGCCATGCTGGGTGAGCTCAAAATGCTTAAGCAGGGTAGAATAAAATAGTGAACTAGAAAACAGTAAGGAGGCTATTATAACAATTCTGATGTGAGGTAACTGGTTGAACTTGCATAGCAGCAGTGATGATAGGAGAAAAGGGCAAAATTTGTAGTATTAGCAGGAGTTGAAGATGAAAGGAAAGTAAGAGCCTGAAGTTGTACTGGTTGACTACGAGAATCTCAATACATATTAGATGTTAAAGGAAACAATTGACATTGAGCTCTGTCATTCAAATAATGGCAGAAAAATTTAGTGGAAATGCTTATTCACAGATTGGAAATAAGGAATTGAGATTTGAGAGGTCAGGACTATTAACAGAAGTTGGTGGGGAGGCAGGAAGTTTGGAGCTGGTAAAGAATTAGTATTCTAGATCTTCAAAACTGCTTATGGAATAGTTTTAGAGCACCAGGAGTTTGAAAACTCGAGTCATGAAGAAAAACATTTCTAAATATTTAGGTACTATCTTTCTCCCACTATTTCTTTAGACTTGTAACTACGCTGATCTCAAAAAAAGGATCAATACTTGTATATGAGTTGCACATACTATTTTATTTACCTTGGAGCTATACTTAGATATTAGCCAGTCAAATTTGCTTTTTTCCACTCCTACCCCAAAAAAGTTGTTACTTGTGCTTGCAACAAGTATTGGCATGTATTTCTCTTATCATTTTATTACCTTGGGAAGAAAAGAAAAATTATTTTGTATTTCTTTTTAACTCTTTCAAGTGGATTGCTACCAAACATAATTTCTTGGAATGGTCAGAACATTTAATCGCTGTTAATAACTGGCTAATTTTATCCAAAATTACTTTTTTCTGTTTTATTCCCTTGCTCGGAGGTCATTATTATAGAAACTTATTGTTGTTGCATTACCAATAAAGTCCTTTCTAACTTTGACATGTTTCCTTTGGCTTCAAGCTTGCAGATCAGTTTTGTAATGCCATTGGAGTGTTGCAGCAGTGTGGTCCTCCTGCCTCTTTTAGTAATATTCAGACAGCAATTAACAAAGATCAGCCAGCGAATCCTACAGAAGGTAAGTTGTTTTCTTGGCTTCTCTTAGTTTGATTCTCATATTACTTGTAATCTTTTAAAATTAGATTTATTGAGAAATGTGGCTTATTTGTAGCTTTCAAAAATATTGTGTGAGAATATTGTTAGCTATGTCATAAAGGAAATTAGTTTGTTATAATCAATTTGACATAACATGTCATAGTTCTGTTTATGTCAAATAACAGATTGTTATTCCTTTAGAGGAAAAATTGTAGGAATTGAACTGAATTTTACTTCTGGGATTTTTTTTTTTTAGAAATCAACTTTATTTTTGTTTGTTTGTATTTTTGTTAATCCTCACCTGAAGAATTTAGAGAGAGTAGAAGGGAGGGCAAGAGACACATCAATTGGTTTGCTCCTGCACGCACCCTAACCAGAGACGGGATCATATTTGCAACCAAGGTACATGCCCTCGGACTGGAATTGAACCCTGAACCCTTCAGTCTAGGGGGGCCAGTGCTCCAACCATTGAGCCAAACTGGCAAGGGCACTTCTGGGATCTTAATAAAGAAGGCATCCCACTTACAGATTTTTTTATTCAAATGACCATCAAGTTGCCCTAAGAAGGGATCTATGTTATGGTTAATTCCCAATTTGAGTTAATATTAAAGGGTAATTCTTAAACATGTATTAGGTTTGATGTGTTAAAATTACACATTAATCATTAGAAGCCTAGTATAGAAAAGTTATATATTAAGTTTTCTGGTTTCATTAACTTAATGTTTAGTTTCTGTTCCTGAAAACTTAAGTTTCTCTAATACCCTAAAGTAATAGTGTCTTTTTCTAGAATATGCCCAGCTTTTTGCTGCACTGATTGCACGAACAGCAAAAGACATTGATGTTTTGATAGATTCCTTGCCAAGTGAAGAATCTACAGCTGCTTTACAGGTAAAAATCTCTTTTCCTTTGAGTACTTTGCTAATAGGGAATTTTGAATTAAAGGAGATAGATTTAACCCTTTTCGGTCCAACCTCGAGGCTGACTTGACAGACCAGGCAGTAGGAGCAGGCCCAACGTCGAGCAATAAGAACATTAAAAAGTTCAACATTCAATCCCATCGATTAATTTGGACCAGACTGTTTGAGTTCCAAAAATAACATTGGACCGCAAAGTGTTAATACTGTTTGTTGTAATATTTAAAGTTTAAGATTGAATTTTAAAGTGGGAGTTTCATTCATTGTGGGTTAGTGTAATCTGTTAAAGACTGCACTGAATAGCCTATATAATAAAAGCCCAATATGCAAATCGACCGAATGGGAGAACAACCGGTCGCCATGATGTACACTGACCACCAGGGGGAAGATGTCAACGCAGGAGCAGCCCCCAGCCCTCAGGCCCCAGGCCAGTCAAGGTGGGTGCCAACAGGGGCCCCCTGGTCGCCCCGCAGAGGGAGGCAACCAGTGGCAGGTGGCGCCAGGCTGGCTAAGGTGGTGCCAGCGGGGGCCCCCACTATCGCCCCACAGATCAGCCGTGATTACTGGCCTGGCCTAGGGACCCTACCCGTGCACGAATTTTATGCACTGGGCCTCTGGTGTATATATAGTTTTCCAATTTTGAGTTCTAAGGACTCTTCCTATTTTTCTCAGTTTGGCTCTTTACCTAGCAAAGAATGAGAGGAAGAGGGCATTCTGGATGTGGAGTAGAATAGTAGTGTCCAAAAGCAGTGTGGAAGGAGTCATATATAGACATCCAGAGATCTCTAATTAAAATTTATTGTTTTAAATAATTCACACAAGGGCAACTTTTTTTTAAAAAAAAAAAATACATATTTATTGATTTCAGAGTGGGAGAGAGAGATAGAAACATCAATGATGAGAGAGAATCATTGATTGGCTGCTTCCCGCTCCTCCCTCCCCCTCCACTGGGAATCGAGCCTGCAACCCAGGCATGTGCCTTTGACCAGAATCGAACCTGGGACCTCTTAGTCTGCTGGCCAACGCTCTATCCACTGAGCCAAACCGGCTAGGCTGGGAAACTTTTAATAGTTCCCTGATTTTAGAATTTTTGCCACTGAAAGCTCCCTCACTATGCCTGTATAGTCATTCAGATTTAAAAGTAGATACTTCCGCAGTTTCTTTCTTTCTCAGCTCAATCTCCAAGTTTTTCATTTCTCAAAAGATTTTTAAATTTGTGTCTTATAAAGGCTGCAAGCTTGTATAAGCTAGAAGAAGAAAACCACGAGGCTGCTACATGTCTGGAGGATGTTGTTTACCGAGGGGACATGCTTCTAGAAAAGATACAAAGTGCACTTGCTGACATTGCGCAGTCACAGCTGAAGACAAGAAGTGGTACCCACAGCCAGTCTCTTCCAGACTCATAGTGCCCATACATAGCATGTGGCTGAGAAAAGAACTGTTTCAATGCCATTAAGAATTCTGTATCAGATTTAGATGTAGGCCTTGCCAACAGTTACAGAAACATTAAGCACTATAATGTTATCTTTTTCGCTACTTTTAATAGTCTTCTATTTTCACTCTTGATAAATTAGCTTGTAAAATTGTGATTGAATCAGCTTTAAACCGTCATTATATCATTTTTTATTATCTGAATGAAATTGAGGCAGCTATTGCACTAATGATTATAATTTAATTAAACAACTGTGCTATAAAATTCTGTTGTGACATAATGTCTATCTTTATTTTTATCATTCTACAGTCTTTTTACAAATAAAAACATCCCTCAAGCCAGAGGAGAGGTGGTAAGGGCAGAATACGGGATATTTCAATTGAGGCTGGTTTCCTTCTGCCCCTTTAGAGGTCACATTGTAGAAATTTGGAGCTTGAGCAAGGAACGTTTGAAACTCTGTAGCTTTTAAGAAACAGAATTAGTGTGGCTGAACAAGAGATTAGGTCACTTTTATGGAAACTTTCCTCTTTTTCCAGAACCTCATGCCCACTCTAGTAGATTGTACTTGTTTCTCTATGGAATTCCCATGCTATTGTGAAAATTTTTCTTCATTCTGAACTACTTTTTTCCTATAACTTTTCACCTGCTTCTTTTCATTCTTCCCCTTAATTTCAGCAGTGAAGTATGTTTCCTGAGTCATTGATTAATTCTTATTCTTTGTATTTATCTGAAGGTTCTGTCTTCTGATCTTGGTAAATTCTCAACCTTTATTGCTGCATTGTAATCTAACCAGAACATACTTCCACTCCATCAGTTACTTCAATATGACTTTCTCTATTGCACTTTAGTTTGTTATTGCTAACATTTGTGTCAGCATTATTAAGTATGATTACTCATCCAGCTCTTGGATATCCTTGAATCTACTGATTCTCTCCATAGAAAGCTGAAGGTAAAATTTAACTGTTTCTGTCTCCCGAGGCTGCATTTTTTAGGATATCCTGAGCTACATTTCCTGTAATCCGTTACTTATCCAGAGTTTAAGAAAGAGCAAGAACAATAGTCAGAGAGTCTCTCTGTTATTCCCATCATAATCAAGCTCTGCCACAGTTCTTGAAAAATGCTGCTGAGAGGAACTTTTAATGTCTTTAATGTAATTTATAGAATCATTAACTTTTAAAATTATGTTAAATGTTGTCTATACTAATAGATATTTAAAATGTATGGCTTTTCTCTGACATCACTTAAAATGCACTTTATTTTTAAACATTGGCATGAGATTTCTAGATGATAAAGAACCACAAAAGAAAGTAATCTTCAAAATACCGAACCCTATCAATACAATTAGCCCCAAGAGACAGTAGGAAAATTTGTAGCCTAAAGCTGTAGGTTGACTACTGTTAAAATATTACCCCTACCTGAAAGAAGCTTTATATTTGATATTGTCCCCCCAGTTTCAGGTATTACAGAACAAAATCCATAAAGGTTATATACAACTAGAGGCCCGGTGCACAAAAATTTGTGCACTCGGGGGGGAGGGGGGTCCCTCAGCCCGGCCTGTGCCCTCTCGCAGTCTGGGACCCCTCGGGAGATAACGACTTGCTGGCTTAGGCATGCTTCCGGGTGGCAGAGCGCAGGCCCAATCCTTAGGTGCAGCCCCTGGTCGGGCTCAGAGCAGGGCCGATTGGGGAGTTGGGGCGCTGCCCCGTCATGCACAGAGCAGGGCAGATTGGGAGGTTGTGATGCCACCCTCAGTCACACTCAGGGTAGGGCCAATTGGGGGGTTGGGGCACCGTCCCCTGTCACACTCAAGGCAGGGTCGATGGGGAGGTTGTGGCGCCACCCCCTGTCACGCACAGAGCAGGGCTAATCGGGGGGTTGGGGCGCTGCCCCCGTCACCCACAGAGCAGGGCCCATCAGGGGGTTGGGGCGCCGCCACTCTCACACTCAGGGTAGGGCCGATGGGGAGGTTATGGCTCTACCCCATCACACACAGAGCAGGGCCCGTGGAGGGGGGGTTGGGGAGCTCCCCCCTATCAGGCACAGAGCAGGGCTGCTCAGGGGGTTGGGGCCCCGCCCCCTGTCACACACAGAGCAGGGCCCGTGGGGAGGGGGTTTGGGAGCTCCCCCCTATCAGGCACAGAGCAGGGCTGCTCAGGGGGTTGGGGCCCCGCCCCCTGTCACACACAGAGCCGCAGGGCGATCAGGGGGTTTGGGCGCTGCCCCCTGTCACGCTGATCCCGGTGCCGGGAGGCATATTACCCTTTTACTATATAGGGTAGAGGCCTGGTGCATGGGTGGGGCCCGCTGGTTTGCCCTGAAGGGTGTCCTGGATCAGGGTGGGGGTCCCCACTGGGGTGCCTGACCAGTCTGGGTGAGGGGCTGAGGGCTGTTTTCAGGCTGGGAGTGACTGAAGTTCCCAACCGCTCCTTTTTTTCTTTTTTTTCTTTTTAATTCTGGGCCAGCTTTACCTTGAGGCTTGGCTCCAGCTGTTAGGCCTCCACAGCTGAAAGTAGGTTTCTGGCCTTTGCTTACAATGTTGCGAATCTGCTGGCTGAAGTCCGGCGGTATTTGTTACAATGTTTCTTAAACTGCCCACTCAGAGGCCTGCAGCCGCAGGCGGGGAACGTTGGTTTCCTCCAACGATCCTCTGTCACTGAGGCAAGCAAGCCTCATGTTAGTTTCACGCTGCCTGGCTGCCGGCCGCCATCTTGGCTGACAGTTAATTTGCATATCTCGCTGATTAGCCAATGAAAAGGGTAGCGGTCAATTACCATGGTACGCCAATTACCATGTTTCTCTTTTATTAGTGTAGATAGCTTCTTGTATCCATAGTTTTGTAGACATGTTTATTGGATCAGGAGATTCTCAAAGCTAAAATAGATGTATAGGCAATGATGATCTCGCTGCCTAGAAAACAGCTTTGGGAAGACCAAAAACTGAATGTTCTTATCTTTCATCCCCTCATCTATCTCTCCCTTCCCTTTAACCCAGATCTAAATTGTTTTAAGAATTAGTAGACAGGCTGGGTAGCTCAGTTGGTTAGAGCATGGTCCCATACACCAAAAGTTTGGGGGTTTGATTCCCAGTCAGGGCACATACGTCAGTTGTGGGTTCGATCCCCAGTTGGGATGTGTATGGGAGGCAACTGATTGATGTTTCTCTCTCATATCAATGTTTTTTCTCCCTCTCCTTTTCTCTAAAATCAGTAGAAAAGCCTGGACAGTGTGGCTCAGTGGTTGAGTGTTGACCTATACACCAGGAGGTCACAGGTTTGATTCCCAATCAGGGTGTGTGCCTGGGGTGGTGGCTTGATCCCCAGTGGGGGATATGCAGAGGTAGCCAATCAATGTTGATGTTCCTTCCTCATCACTGTATCTATATCAATAAAAACATATTTAGCCCCGGCTGGTCTGACTCAGTGGATAGAGCGTTGGCTTGTGGACTGAAGAGTCCCAGGTTTGATTCTGGTCAGGGGCAAGTGTCCAGGTTGTGGGCTCGATTCCCAGTGGGGTTTCCCTTTCCCTCTCCCTTCCTCTCTGAAA